CTATACCCCCATGTAAAAAGATTCAGAAAACTGTTGGGACAGCTTATGATCAAAAATGGTTTGGATTGGCAGCAATACAATGCACCTTCTACAGAGTAATGAATGATAGGAGAATGGGCAGATCAAGAATATTTTATAATAGTTGACTCAGGACCTGATCAAGCACAGCTGGCATTAGCACCCAATCAATAAAAAAAAAAAGATTGATCAAAATTAATGAAATTGTATTAATGCCTTAAGCAAAACCAACAGATTAAGTACAGCATATGTAGCAATATTCCTCTCAAGTCTCCAATTTACCTTGGTTGGATAAAAAAGCTTTGCTGTGTTCCAGGTGGAGATGACATTGGGATTCAAGCAATGCTCCATTCCACTATATTATTGTCACTGTTCTTGACAAATTGCTTATTCTGCTAGCTGATACAGAGCACTAACTATTCTGTCTGAAGTTAAAAAAGGACATTTGTCCACTCAGCATTCTGCTTTTTCATTGTCTTTTACCAATCCATTTAATCCAATTCAGCTCTTAGCACCTCAGCATAGCCAAAGATTTATGACAGTACAGTGAGTGCAAGATAAGACTTTGAACTTGCAAGTAGTTTATTCCTGTCTTTGGTCTATGCGGCAACCACATTTAGCCATAAATTATTAGATATTAGATCAGATAGCATATTTCAGGGGAAATTCAGCAAGTACATATATAATGAATTTCAGCCACTTCATGTCCATGCACTTTTTGACTATGCAATAATTTTAGGCAGTGTTTGGTGAATATAAAGCAGAAAACCAAATGATAAAAAACAAATGGATCAGAGAGCAAGACATTGGATGAAGATATAGGCTACTATACCTGCCAGAGTATTCCTTTATTGAGTAACATTTACCAAGGTACAAGTGATTTACTAGAAGTCAAAGCAAACTATTCATAATTTTGCTAATGTAAGATTTTGAATATTATAATGTGCTAGCTTACCTATGAAAGATTTATCTTTCCTTTTTGTTTAATTTTAATAACGTTTTGAACCCGACACTCTAGGTGGAAAGTCAATGACACTAATGCCTCCCTGTATCTATGCTCCTCCAATGGAGGAGGAGGAGGATGCCTGGTAAGCCAACACTGCAAGCACCAGCAGTAACCTAGTGCAGCGATCTGTAGGGGTATAGACTCCCTCAGCATGCATAGTCAGAGCAGCAAAACAGCCTATGTAGCCAGCTCAGCATGCACCGGAAAGGAACATGACAGGCACATGTGCAGTAGGGATCTCCAGAGGGAGGACCCACAGGTGCCATGTGGTCTCCGAGGCCACTCATGCAGGGAAAAGATGCCAAAACTAAAAAAAGAAGGCGACTGTGAGCCCTCTCTGCTGCTGCAGACCCAATAGTGACCCACAGGTGCAGCTTTGAATGATTTGCCAGTTTCCATTCACTTGAAGGTTGCTGTATAGTCCATCTGTTGAAGGATTGACAGTTATGTGGTCTACAATCAAGAAATTACTTTAAAGTAATTGGTGCCATAATTATGTGTGCCAACATTTCTGGTTGCAAACGCCTTGTGTTTAAAAAAAATGTCAGCAGCTAAAAACTAGCATTTTGTAACACAGGAATAAAATAGGATTAAGCCACATTCCAATTATTAATGTATTCTTCATTCACAGGGAACTCTTCTGGGAATATGTTTCCAACTGAGTCCCCAAGAAATGTAAGCCAGCTTTAGATTTAAGTGAACAGCTTACACACAATGCGAAAATGTGTGCTTTAGACAAAAATGGCCTTTAAGGTAAAAATGTGCCAGGTACAAAAACAAACAGAAATAATTAATCATCATTTATTGCTCTGATTACTGTAAACAGAAAAAGTTATTAATTGGACTACTGTGGGCATCTGTTCTCTGGACATGTTTATTTTCCCACAGTCTTATTTATTAAGCCTAAGCTCTAGATATATGATAGACTGCATGCAGAGAAGAAAATGGAAAAGAGAACACGTTGTAAAAAAAACAACAACAAAAAAAGCATATATGGGGCTACACCCTTAGAGCCACCACTTTGCCCTGTACAAACAATAGTTCAATTCATGCATCTTTTTTTTTTTACAAGATTGTGTTTCTATGGTGAAGCTGACTCAACCTAAAATATTTTAGTTTGGCCATAAATACACTACATAGCTTTCCTACTTTATGAGAACAATTCATCATTTAACTTACTACTAGTCCAGTGTTTCAGTAAAGTCTAACCTATAATTCACACAAAATCAGAATAATGAATCTATTTTAATACTTGTCTGTAACATCAGTGGCTTTTGTAACTGCTCCTACCAATTTTGTACATGCTTGTTTCTGCCTGCTATTTCCAGAAGATGAACGCCCGTATTCTTAATCAACATTATATCTCTTTTAATGCACTCTTTATCAAGAAAGAGATACATCTCTATTAACACAATAACTTTTTTCCTATCTTAAACATATTTGGAACCTTCCACAGATGCTCAACTTTGTAAGCAATACTGCTCTAAAATATATTTTATATATAATGTATTCTAGCCTTCACACTGCTCGGCTTAATGGAAGTCAATATCTGTATATTATACTATCCACTCTGCAATTCCATTACAGACTCCACACCGCTGGTCATAAAAAGTATCATTCTGAGCACAAGCCCATAACAGTAATGATAAAAAAGGACCATTTCTCTTCTCCAACTAGAATGAAACATTTAAATCACTGTGGTTCTGTGCTCCAAGGAAAGTTGGCAAATTAACACTGCTAAAAAAAAGCTAAAATATTAATGGCCTGTCTAAAAAGAGAAGTTAATAATTGAAAACAAATTGCCCGGTTTTAAGTATTCAGAATCCTAGAAATTCTGATGAAGGGTGACAGCGATAAGACACAATCTATGTTTTTGTCAGCCCAGTCCTTATTGTGTAAAAAAACATATATACATAGACTAGTGCAGAAAAATATATTCTGCATTGCTATTAACAACAATAACAATCAAGACATCCTCCACTGTGAGTGGCATAAAAAAAATAACCAGCTTCTGTGCCAAAGACAAGTCTTGCTAAGTTCTCATATCTAAAATGGATTAATCAGAAAGTACATTATAATTATACTGACATGTGTCCTTAAACAACATTCATCTAATGTATATTAATATACAGTATATGCACATGGAAATACCAAAACTAATTTCTAACATAAAAAACAATCTGTTGATAGTATCCCTATTTTAAGGCTTAGTCATTTAAACTTCAAAGTAATTATTCAGTGTAAAATTACAGGGAGCCAGTGTTTGTCACAGTCACAGATAAATTACGAATGAAACACCTGCAAGGTACTTTTTCAACTTAGTGAGCTCATTGAGATACTAGCACTGCCTGTGGTTTGCAGTACAGAGTGTTTGCTCTGTTAACCAGAAGCAAGTAAGAGGCTATTAACAGCGAGGATACACAAACATAAAATATTTCACTAGCTGTTTATTTTGGGATGCCTCATTAGCCAAAACTGCACTGGAACTCTGTGGTGTACCCTCACCAGAAAAAAGTTGTGTTAATATTTAAATAAGGATTGCATTTTTTGCCAAATCATCAAGTTACTGGGATAATATCCATGAAAAATATGTTCTACAAGTTAGTCTTCAAAATAAACATTTAAAATAGGGGCAAAATTCTGTACTTTACTAACCATTTAGGAAGAAAACCTAAACATTATGCAAGGGTCATTGTAGTTTACACAGATCAGATCTGGTGCCTTAATGTGTGTGGAAGCAGGTCAAGTTCAATTCAACATTTAAGTATTTGCTCTGTACAAGTAAATATATGATTTTTTCCCCTTCAAATCATTTTTATTTAAAGTTGTAGGTAACAGGAGACAGCGATAACTGAATACAGTTGTACTGAAAAGGGATACATACACTTTGCCCAACTAGAACCCTGTTTGCAGCACATAGGCGGGTCTCACATACAGAAATTTCTGTATCACACTGGATCTCTGAATTAAATTTGATTTCCTATGAAAAAAAATACCCATGAAAGACAAAGGGCTGTGAAGAAATATGCTTTAACCACTTGCTGACCAGGTGTTTACACCCCCTTCCAATCTACCTCTGATCCCGTCAGAGAGCCACCACGCTGGTCCCGGGCTTGCATCGGGCACAACGGAGCCCGGGACCAGTGGGACATCGGGAGGGGGGAGCCGCGGAGGGGAGCCCAAATACTGGCACCTCATACAAGCGATCCACCGGCTCTATTTCCAGCGGATCACTTGTATGTAAACAGGCATCGCTGCCTGTTTTTAAATTTTGGCACATTCCCGCTCGCACGTGCGAGTGGGCGTGGATGAGCGGACGTTTAAAAACGCCTGCTCAGATCCAGAGAGCTCCCGGCCGGCCTTTTCTTTACCGGAGACGGTTAATATAGTTACATAGTCAGGTTGAAAAAAGACACAAGTCCATCGAGTTCAACCTATGGAGAAATATGGGTCAGGTGGTTGGATGTAATGGGTGAAGAGGAGTGTAGTAGTGACTACTTTTTGGGCTTATTTTTTTTTTCCTTGTGAGCATTGGAGGTATATTAAAATTTCTTCCTGTTCACCATTCTTTTATATGCTAAGCAGTTTCTTACCTTTTTAAGAATATAATGTGTAAGTATCCTTTTCAGTATAGTAAAATGCCTGACTATTGCAATGCATTTTTTTGTAAGCTGTGTTGTTGTTTTTTATGAAAGTGTAAAATGTTCAATAAATAAAATCTAATTGTGTTTATGAGTGTGTAAATATATTGCTAACAGAAGAATAATGGTATGTCACTGGTTCAGCCAGTCTAAATGTTTTTAAGATTTTTGGGCCTCTTGCAGTATTGTATCCAGCATAACTTTTCTTATACAATTGAACATACCACTAACACCATTACAGAACAATATAACTAGTTAGTCTACAGTTTATTGTACAGTCATCCCATAATGGATTAAAGTTTATTCACTAATGATTAGGGAAAGTACTGTCATACCTAAGCATTGCACCAAAACCTTTTTTCTTAGCTTTTTTCTCCTGATCCTCAGTTTCCTCCTTCTTTTTCTTATCTTTTACTTTTGATTTGTCCTTTTCCTTATCTTTTTTCTTATCTCTTTTTTTCTTTTCTTTCTTTACTTTATCATTATCTTCTAGCTCTGCATTCTCCATTGTGGCAGACTCACTATTTGGAGTTGCTCGACTGGAGTGGGAACTCACATCAGAAAGAGCATCTGGGAAGGAAAGGCAAAAAATCAATTACATACACTGTTCATGTTCAACGCTGTTCAATGAGATCACCAAGCATTTAAGCATGAAGTTCATAATGGGTAGTAGTAGGTTTTCCTACAGCTGGTTAGAGGATTCACCACATGCTCCAGGTCATGCATCATGACAAACTGCCCTCATTACCTCATACATAATCTTACAATGAAAAGGTCAAGGAGACAGTGGCTAAGTCTCCATCGTTTCACTAATAAATGGTCTGTTGAAAGCAATTCAATGCAATCAATACAGCACATTCAATTTACATATTGTGTATTTCACAGCACAAGTAAGAGGCCCTATACAAGAAACAAAGGCAAAAAAATCCAATCAGATGAGAATTGTGTATATGTATTATTGCCACCAAGAGGTATTTGTATGCAACCTCAAATACCTTATAGAGAACCCTGGGTGCTCTAAAACCATGGGAAATCTATTATGCACAACTCACAACCCAACACAGCTAGCTTAGACCCACTCTATGCCACCTTCTTCACTGCATCATTTGCCCTTACCTAACATGAGCATCTTTTTTTTAAATTTTAAAATGAGGAGACACATTCTTGAATACAGGAACTAGTCAATATTTGCTCAACAACGTGCACTATATATTGGGGCACTCTGTCAAAGTATATAAGCATGTATGAAGACAATTTAAGAACTGTTTTGTGTATAATAGCTTTATGTGTTGGGCATGATTCCATGTCTGGGTGATATGAATTTGGATGGTTTTGCCCATACTGCATGGGCAAAACTGAAAATTTGGTTATGAGATGATCCTATTTGCTTTTGTTTTTGCATCATAGAAAAAGTGAACTCTTGAGTCAAGGGGGGGAATTTATCAAAACTGGAGCAGACAAATTGTGGAGCAGATTTGCACTGCAACCAATCAGCTTCTCTGTCTCATTTTCAAATCTTACCTGAGCAAACTGAAGAGAGAAGCTGATTGGTTGCCATTGGCAACTGCTCCAGATCTGTCTGCTCCAGTTTTGATAAATTCCCCCCCAGGTCTCAGTATTTCAGCTTCAAACAGATATGGCTTAAGTTCACCATTAAACAGGTGCAGTATTTAACTACTCATTCTTCTTTATGAGTAAGATTTTCTCAGATTTTGACAAAAATGTTTGTAACAAGAAATGCTGAAACTCTGCAATGAACAAATAGTATCCAGTTTGATGAACACTGTGTATAGTTGTAATGTTGAACACTAATGCAAAAAGGGTAAAGGTTTTAATCCATTAACATATTTTAACAATCATTGCATACATAATGAGACGTGGTCTTCATCTGACCCACTAGATTATTTGTACTGACAAACATCTGCATTCATTATAGAAATGTCAAGATCATTAGGAAGAAAAACATCATCTGCACCTCAGAAATAGAGACCCTAGTTCAAAGTTTCTATCAAGATCCCCTTCATTTACTCTATATGCCTCCTTTCAGTATATGCTCATCCACTCTGCTGGGAACCCTTCGCTGTGTTCCCCCAGCTGCTCCCCTTTTCTATGTACCCTCCCCTTTATTGCAGCAGAAAAAAAAACCTTGCATATAAGCAGAACATGTTGACAGAAATATGCTGCCAAAGAGAAAAAAAAAAACAGTGCTGCATTTGGCCACGTGACATAAAAAGTCATAGACCACATGCCCAACCACAGGGTCAGAGAGGTAATTGCCTTGAGAAAGCATATCTCCAATCTCAGCTGTGTGCCCTGTATATCTATGTTATATCTATGTTTTACCCCAGGGTGGCAAAGTGAAGGAAGCAGACTAGCACAATCCCCATAGACAGCAGCCTGACCATGTCTATGTCGTTAAGTAACTCTCTGTGGATTGTTATACAGTGTAACAAGGACACTCAACTGTATTCCAGGAAATTCAAGTAAAGTGCAGTTTATTAAGGGCAAACACAAAATCTCTGTTCATCCACGGGGTAGCCTTCCCCTGTTCACATAAAGGCCAACATTTATGCACTTCTCATGATAAACCAGCCTTCTTTAGCATATACAGTCCTTAGTAGCTTTCCTCACCTCTAAGGCTCTCATCACACCTCTGTGTGATACTCACACTGCTCTCCCAGCAGTGGATCACACACTCTCTCTGAGCACTGGGCTGGTTTCCTAATGAGGCTGCTCTTAGCCACCTGATCAGCCCAAGCTGGTCATTGTCAACACCTGGCCCCAGGACTGGAGATCTCATCCCACCTAGAGGTCTACGAAATCTCCAGAGCTCCAGATCCCAGTTACAATTCTGAAAATCTGGAAGATTTGGAAAGGCCAGGTTCTTCCTTATAAAATGGTTTACTCTCTGGACCCTCTCAGCTTCTTTGGCTGAGAGTCCTGGGTGCCATATTTGCCAAACTACACCGTGGCATTGGCTTACACTGCCACAACAGCCAGTGTCTGGCATTTTATCCATGTAATAAATCTAGCTGAAGCTGGTTTTTGCCCTGTTACATATATACCTGAGCCTGCCAAGTATTTGGTGCATTTGCTGTTTTAGAAACACAATTTGGATAGTACAGTATGTATGGCTAAATATAACATACCTTCCTCGGCTTCTGGTCCATCATAAGACTTATCAATTGCAGCCCGGAAGCTCTCATTACAACCCCTACCACGGACCATATGTGGTCTAGGTCTGTAGAAAGGAAGATCATTCTTCTTGACTTCTGCCACTGCTGTCTGCAGACTCTCCAGTGAGCTGGACTTTTTTAGACCCAATCGTGGTCCAAGATCTTTTCCAGCGGAATCTGGAAGAACATTATCCGTGATTTTTTGACAGTTGTAATGGTTAAGTGAAAATCATTTTAATAAACATTCCCCATTTTCCATAACCATGCACGCTTTAATGTAATCTTATATAACCCGGTCAATCTTCTTTCTTGGGTTCAAGTTTGCTTTCATATATATCTATATATTTTTATGTACAGAATAAAAAAGGTAGATGGTTTTGTATTCAAGGCAATTGATTCCCTAAACACACACAAATATATATATATATACACACATACATACATACACCATATGAGAAGTGGCCAGCCATGGCTTCCTTTATATACCTTTACCATTTTTCCTTACATAAAAAGTAAACAATGCATACTATGCTTTCTAAGCATTGAGGTAATATACTCATTGGTTCCAATGTGACAAAAAATACAATATCTCTATGGAATATGATAGTCAAAGTCATGGGTGTGATTCTGAGTTGTGTGGGGGCTAACTAAGGTCAAAATTTGCATTTAAATAGTTTTAAAAAGAATCCAAAACACACTGAGGAAACTCACACAAAAACTAAATTAAAGACAATATTACTGGTACATTTCAAACTAAGAAACCTGTGCTGATAGGAAAAAGTGCTAAGCACTTAGCTATGGTAAATGTTATTTTAAAAAACAAAACAAATTGTAGTCAATGTTGTCTGGTATAGGTGTGTTTTTGGGTTGTGTGGGCCAAGGTCAAAATGTGTAGAAAAAGGTGATAGTCATGCAATTGCAACTGTACACTAAGTCCCCGTTCACATTGAGCTCGAAAATCGTGCATATTGCCACGCGATATCTCGCTCATCCAATGATTTTCAATGGAGCTGTTTAATTCGACAGCTCAATGTCACCTGTAGCTCGTCGCTGTCGTTCGTGCAGAACCCTTTTTTGTGCTGATGTCGCACAATTTTGCTCTATTTGCATGCAGCCCAATAGTGAAGGTCGTGCGATCGTCGCCCGAAAAGTCGTGCTATATCGATCGCGCGGAATTCCGCTCAAGTTACATGTCGCTCAGTGTGAATGCAGGCTTATTCCCTCTTCGTTTTACTGCTACTGTTATTAATGCATCAAAAGTCCATCTCTTGTAAGAGTATATCCACTAGCAAAAAAAAGTTTTCTTGAATTTTCCCAGTAAACCCGTACATGTAATTGTAAAACCTGTAATATTAAAGCAAACTTGTACTTTGCTTATAGAGGGCAAAGTAACACTTTCACTTTACAGGATGCAGATGTTTTGCTAACCTTACCTGTCAATCCAATATTGGGCTCCACTCACACATCCAAGTTTGGAAATCAGGACATTTTTACATGCGGAAAAAGGCGCCTTCGTATGCATGCACATTTGCAGCTACAAATATAGTCTTTTGGGGGACAGAGCACACTCAAATAGCCAGTGAAATCATGAATGCACTTTATACGTATATACTCGAGTATAAGCCGTCCCGAATATAAGCCGAGGTACCTAATTTTACCACAAAAAACTGGGAAAAAGTATTGACCCGAATATAAGCCGAGGGCGGGAAATGAGGCAGCTAATGGTAGATAGATACCAATAAAATTACATGAATATTTATTTAAAAGAAAAACAATAACCTAGCTCTGTAAGTGGAAAAGGGGGTACAGGGCTACATATTATGTACTACGGATCATTTAACCCATTCATATTAGCAGAGGATAATTGTAAATCTATTGTTCAGTGCATTCTATATGTAGTATATAAATGCACATGCCATTGTATCTTGTAGATGCCCAGACATTTTATGAAGTTCAAATTGTACTAAAACACATTACTGAATTCCACAGTTTTTTGTCCAGCTCAGGTTCCATATGCAATATCAAACATATAAGCATGAAAGTGAAGACCACCCAAATAGTACAGACTATTTCCCACTTTCTCTTTTATCCACTGTAATCTTGTCAAGGTCAAAAACATAAAAGGAACCAGATGTAATAACCAATTGTAGTTAGCATTAAGTTACTTTCAAGAAACGTGGGCAGCTAGGCTCCTTTAAGCTAAAGGATCAGAATTCAGTATAATCTAACAATACTTTGAATAACTATGCTTCAGTTGTAAAACCAAAATGTATGGCAGAAAAATATATCCATACAGATAGTTATGATGATATTTGTGTTCACATAGTGCCCCATTCTATGGGGGACACCCACACTTGAATTTACACATTTTTTAACTGATAAAATGTACTATTTCACATACATCATGTCACCCCTATGATGTCCAAAGGGGGTTACTGTTGCCTTCTTTAACCCTGTTTGGCTTTTTGGCTGTCTGTGACCTTGTTGGGCATAGACATTAAGAAAACATGTTTCATAATAGGTTTCATAGGGACAAGCAATACAATCATGATAGAAGTTGTAACCCCTTCCCACCTCCCTCACTACAGGACACTTTTTTGTTGCTTTCTATAGTTGTGTGTGTGTGTGTGTGTATATATATATATATATACACACACACACACACACAACTATGTAAATATATACATGTTTTTAAGTTTCCAGGCAATCAGAAATATTCTTAATAGAGAAAGAGACAGCAATTAATACATGACTGAAGTTCTAATCTTCCTCATCTGTATTTAGTTAGGCTTTAATGTTTTATCTGCAATAATTATCAGCATTGTCAGTCTTCCCTGTGATTGCAGGCATTTATGGTTATGAGAGTACTGTTGCCTTTGGTCAGTGCCTTTGCTTAATTAGTCACAAAACTATTGTTTTAAGGTATGTCAGTTATAAATAAAATAGGGTGACCTGCTAAATGCAGATCTGGGAACTATTACCCAAAATGATTGCAATTTATAGCAAAGCTTAAAAATTACCACCTGTTCAAGTATTTTCTTATAAAGGTAACAAGTACAAACATATTCATTTGGTTATATTGTATAAAAACAGCACAATCATAACTTTTCACCTACTACAAATTCATGCAAATCCACAACGGAAAAAGGAGATGTGGTTGCTAGGTTGCAACTTTTCTCTTTTGTTCACTAATTACTATACCAAGACCTACCATTACTCTCAAATTAGAAAGTTCAGGAATAGATTTAGAAACATCATTTGCACAGGACAGGAAGGTTTGTTCCAGCCAAAATGTTTTCAAAATGTGTGTATTCAACTTTAGTGAATACAGTGAAGAATAGGCTTTGCAGTTTCTGCAAAAGCAGAATGATGTCAACAGTTTAACAGCTTGTTACAGTCAATTTTGAGCAACTCAAAATACAATAACTGTTACCACCAAAGGCATATGAGGCCATCTTACAGAGCAAACATGCAAAGTTAAAATGTGGTCACTTTCTACTGCTGGTTATGGTGCTTACTTGTAGCTGTGCAGGTGCTTACCTATATATGAGATAATTTATAGTTAGCAAGAAATGTAACTCCATGTTAACTGTTGAGATAAAATTAATGTAATGTAATAATTTCCCTGAGGAATGACCAATTGTGGCGGGCATTTGGTCATTGATGGAGAGGGCTTGCACAATAGGTAGATGCCCACCTACAGCCCCTGGTCCAGCAGTTATCAGAATTTATTAAAGACACCAAGTCTATTCTGGGTCCCTTATGGTAACTGCAATAGTAGAGTAACCATATGTGGGTTACCCTAGATGTATGAGCCCTTCACTCCTCGGTATCCCAACATCTAGCTTTAAGAGCATTAGAATACTATCTATAAAAATACAGCAATTATAATGAGTTAAAAGATTTCCTAGTATTGGCGGTAGAATATCTACTTACTCTAAGTATTTTATTTTTGATGGGGTTATTTTTCAACTTGTAGCAATGCAAAAGCTTCAAGAGGGGTGACATGTTCACCTTTACTTGTTAATCTCTATATGGGATGGTAGGCAGATCTCTACATTTTTGCAATAAAAAAAAACCTTCAGTAACTGCATTTTTTGGTTTGGACACTAAATAGATGACCTGATGATGGTGTGGAATGATACTCCTGACATATTGTCATTGTTTATGATGTATATTAACAATAACAATCTAAATCTCCATCTTCAGGGAACTGTGATTAAGCTAGGATTGTTTTTTGTAATTTAACCCTGTGTTCGAATGTGTAATCTCTTCTGCCTCAGTATCTTTGTTGGGAACAGGAAAAGTCAAAGAACATCCAGGTCACCTAGTGAGTTGTTGAGTTTTGTCTTGAGAAACCATAGACAGTGTTGGAAGCTGGACATGATATTTTTTAGCTGGTCTAAAGAAAGTTCAAAGGTTAAGAAAGTGGACCACATATCAAAATTGTTTTTAGTGTGATTTAGGTTAAATTTAGTGTCTAATTTGTCAATCAACATAAGGCGGAAGAGTATGGATTTAAAAGGAAGAGAGGGAAGGAGGATTGGAGGATAACCAATGAGTCAAGTTGGCTTTTTTTTGCACTTAACGAGAGAAGGGAAATGATGTGACATTCGAGTCTCAGGAAGGGAAATGGATGTCATGGGAAGGTGATCTTTGTCTACCTGATTTTGAGTTCATATAGGTAATAATATCCTTCCAGAGGGATTGGATAGTAGGACAAAACCATAAAAGGTGTGTTAAGTCAGGTAGTGGCGTGTAGCATTTCAGACAAGACATCAGCCACCCTGGGGGGTTATGAGTCGAGACAATATTGAAGGCGTAATAAGCCCTATGAATTACCTAAAATTGAATTTCCCTCCACGACTTGCTGACTATAGCGGTTCTCAAATGTCTCCAACCTTTCAGAATAACAGATTGTGTGATTTCAGGGGGTTATTGCAGAAGATCTGCCCACTTGGTTATATAAGATGGTGTGTCGTGGGTGAAAGAGCAAATACTAGAGTACATGTGATGGTATACAGTGACCCTAATGTGTCAGCAAATCTTGGAGTGTGTGGATGCTGTTGAGATTCCACTGTTTGAAATTGGCGGATTCACGTCCTGAGGGAAAGGCAGGGGTAGAAGTAATGGACATCAGAAGGGAGAATACACCAGGAAGGTGAAATAATTTCCTA